ATCTGCTCAACTCTGACCATTGAAGTTACTTGGGCAGTGAATCAGGAGATAGAAGATTTTCTTCTCTATCTGATTTTGCAATAAAATTAAAAATAAATCTAAAAAAATCATAACATGGGTGCAAGATTTTTGGCTCAAATGATTCTATCTTCATTCTCTTTAAAAATATACATCAGTATACACACAAATACATATATGTATACATGTAAGGATATATTTGAGGAGTGAATATCTCAAAAACTGATGATTTCAAAAGCTATTGAGGGTTATCTGGATTCTATCTTTAGCAAATTTAGCAGTGTACAAGGGATTGGAATAAAAACAAGATGTAGAGCTCAGTGATGATCTTGCTAATTATGCCAAAAAGTCTTATTTGTTTGCATTGGCAGAGTATTTTCACTGTTTAGTGCACTGTTGTATTTTGATCTGTGCTCAGTGCTCTAAGTTTTTTTTATATGCAAATGTTTTTTAAATGAATATTTTTGGGTTATTAAAGATGTGTATACATTTGATTAGCAAAGTCACTTGTTGATGAACGTGTGTTCATGGGAGCACTTACAGTGAAGATATATATAATGGATATTTCTTAGCCCAGGAAGGAGTTCTTACACAGCACATGCTAACATGGCTCCTTAGGCAAAAAAGAGCCAGAGACTAGGAAGTGAGGAACTCAGGTAACATAACTATAAACAGGATCATTCCTGAGCCATATTGGACAAGATATAGAACAGAACAGAATTAGACATTTTGGGATTGCGTGAAATAGCAACTGGAAAATTTGAGAGTGGTATTTGGTGTCTCACATATATTCTTTTCAGATCCATCACATTTTTTCCTCCAATTATTACCTTTTAAAGGACTACTTAGAATTATAAGGACATGTGAGCAGCCAATGAATGTGATATTACGGTGGTAACTGAAGTAAAGGATGCTTTCAGAAACAGTAAATTCAGTCACAGTTTTTGGAATGTTCTGGCATTGAGTCTGACTTCTGTGAATCTGTTTCTCTTATTGAGGCTCCAGAATTCTTTTCCCGTTATAAGGACAATAGGTACAACTTGACACCCCAAGTGTTATCTCTCACTCAGGAGTGTTTACAAGGGAGCTATCATAGGATTTACTTTTATGTTCTACTTCAAAATTTCCAATGTTTACTTTAGCTTTTGATAGCTATAGTGGATTGCAAACTCCCCCATCCAGATCCATCCATATAAGAAGACTACGGAAGTGCTTGCAACATATATTTTTATTTATAGTGTGTGTTGAATACATATATCTAACTCCCATTTCCCATATGCCCACCCCACCCCACCCCACTATGCCCACCCTGTTGTCCCACCCTTCCCCAAAACAGAATCCATAAACAAACACTAAACTACGGTACAGAGAAATAGGGATATTGGTAGAGCATACTTAAAGTAACAAGTAAGTAAGTAGCGCATGCATGCCTGCTGGGACTCCAGAATAATGTCCATTTTCATGTTGTTACACAGTGAGACTCCTCACATTCCCCTTTGTCAGAATGTCCCATTATAATTCATCAATATCTCCACAGGGAGGATCGCTTCCAGTGTCATTTAAATGTCGCAGCTGAAGCTTTCACACAGAGAACTGGGCAGTCTCATAGGCTTCTTTCCTGGGAGCTTTCAATCCGAAGCTGCCTACACTATCACCAAGCTTGAACCAAGTAAGTAGTTGTGATGTGCTTGCCCACACTTGCCTAGTATATTCCACACCATTCCACATAGTTGTAGAGCAAAGACATAGCAATGGTGAAAGTTGAAAGTCATTCAGTAATCATCAACTTCAGTTCCATTATACGGTACTAAAAATTTTTAGAGAATATTCCCATTCACAAACTTGAAAACAGAATCTGCTGTCCGATCCCATACTACCTAACAGTCTTTAGTTTTCCAATACAGCAAAAAAAAAAAAGTTGACAACAAACACTTGTTGCAAAACACCAAAGGATCTTAATTTAGAGTCAGAAAGTCAGTACATACAGAATTTTTCTATAACTATCATAAGGGAAGGGAGTTTGAATTAGACACTTGGGCAGCTTTTACCAAGAATTATCACAGTAAACAACTTCATCTCCAGACTAGGTCCAGAGGAGAATAGATTTTCCATCAGTGAGAATTTTGTTTCATAGTTGCAATGATGCCAGCCTTCAGCAATGGTAGAGTAACAAGTAGGTGATCCAAACGTGTAATTACGATTCCAGGTAGGCACTTGCTGATATTAAGGCATGTACCTCTCCTGGTGCAAAACTGCCCATCAAACTAGGTTGGTGGAAAAACAAGCATGTCCAATATTAGAAAACTCCACACAAGGTAGGCAAAATGACTATAGCTCTCTGTTCTCTTTTCTATTCTGCAAGTACTAATGGGGACTAAGCTCAGAAATTTTGCTGTCTTAAATGAATTCCCAGTGGCCTACCACTTTCTTGTATATGCTTTAAGTAAGTATTTAATTTTTTCTAGACTGGACCAGAAAGATCTTTTTTCTTTCATTAAGGGCTTCTTCAACATGTCTGTATATGTGTATTCATCTCTCTCTATGTGTATGTTTATGTATTTGTGTAATTATCTATGTGGGGTTTATGTTCATGTGTCCGTTCTGCCACTCACTTAGTTCAGATATATATTTTATAAGGTGACACTACTGATGTATCTTTAGGAGGGAGTGTACTTTATTTCCTCAGCAGTGAAAATGAGTTTTGCAGGGTTCTTTATAAAACAAGTTTTTGTTTTTGTTTTTTCTTTTTTTTTGGAAAATGCTGGCTAGGGTGAGTGATGCAGTCTGTGTAACAGACATGCATGGTGTTTTGAAACCATATGACCATAGTTCTTTAGCACCGTGCTCGAACCCTCAGGGCTAATTGGCCACACGTGGGTTAGAGCCTAGGACCTAAAGCTCATTAGCACCATGCTCCAACCAAATGACCTCCCCAGCCAGAAATTACTTACAATCGTAGCACCCTCAGACTTGGCTGGGTGCTGAGTTCAGTTTAGTTGCAGTTGACAAAAATATCTAAACAAAACCCTACTAAAAACTCAGGCTGTTCGGAGACCCAATTCTTTAAACATCACCAAAGCTCACTGAAAGACTATGTACTGTGAATGTGGAGTTCACAGCCAAGGCATCAACAAACATCAAAGCATAGAACATTCTACATCCCCAGCCTTACTGAAAGTGTCAAAAAAAAGTCAAATATTTTGTAGAGAATAGGGATGGGAACAGCAAAAGGGATTTCCTGGCAATAAAAGAATATTAGGTGAAAATACATTAGCACAATAATCATTCAAATTACAATGATAGCCCTTTCGTCCAAAGTTCTCCTATATCTAAGAAGGAGAAGAGGATATTAGAGCAAGCTCTGACCCTTCCAATAATCACTGGGTACCAAGCGGCAATTCCATTCTGCTTTCTCTTTGGGGAATGGCGGGATCCTAGATAGTCAGCCCATTGTCCCGGTTGTATTCATCTGCCAAAAGGAGAAAGGGACTAATATATCAATGTCCTTAATTCAGAGGATAAGAAGGATTTACACAGGAGGGAGAAAAAGTACCAGCAGAGCTCACTACTCACAAAGACTATTAATTTCAAAAACAGCTAAAGCTAAAGGGGACAAGAAATGAAGGTACAGCTCATACAGTTGACAACAACAAATGTAGTCATCTATTCAACCTAGGACTTAGCCAAATATCTAGTCATTTACTTGAGTGACAAAGTTCATTTTTTATGAAAAAATGGATGATGAAAATAGCAAGGGAGAGGAAATAAAGTACTCATTTATGAAAGTGAAATGTAAATAGTGCTCAATATACAAATTAGCTCTTTCTTACCAATTCTCACCAATTCTTTATTGATCTAAAATAAGGTACTAAGTGTGGGAATTTACCAGGGATATTGTCCTGCCATAGTGGTATCAGACTCTCCAGATTCTACCTTTAAGTGTCATACTCAGTTCATGTACATCAATGCTAATGTTGTCTCCAGCTGAAATGCCATGGAAGCAGAAGAACAAAGCTTTCCTTCTCTTCATCCCCCCTGCTGAATAGTAATTCTCCTAGCTAAAGAAACAGGATCAATTAAACCAAGAGTGGGTACATTAGACTGTTTGCTTCCAGAATACGAAGGCAAAACTGACAGGCAAAATGCATACAGGGAAGGTATGCTATTGAAATACAGAATTAAGAAAAAGAGAACTTTTTAGAATTTACAGTGCTAATTTGGGCATTTCCGTTTTCCATTCAAACGGAAGCTAATGATGAATTATTGTATAGCAACCTGTAGAAATAATCCAGGTAACATGGGGTGAACCATTAAACTGTTTTTTTTTTCTTCTGTATCTGTAAGGTTTCTCATTCTCACTCTGCCACAGGAGATAAGATATGACTAACAACTTGCACTTCCAAGAGGCTTTGAGTTTTCAGAACATTCAATAAATTTTCAGCAGCTCTATCTTTCTCTCCTGGCATATCCCTGTAAATATGATAAGGAGATTGGTCTCTTATTTATCCAAATAAAATACAACTAGGAGTCTCTAGGAGTTTTTGCAGCATCTGAAACAGTGTTTGTGTTAGGAGTGGACAAGTGCCAAGGCCAGGTAGCATATAAGAACCAAGAAGGGAAAGGTCACCACAATCAGAGGTGTTATTCAGGAGACCACATATCAGAGCTGGTCTTTGAGTGATGGACAAACATCTCTGACGCTCCTGGAGATCTAAGGTCTTCAGTGTACTCACTGTTGAAATAAAAAAAAGAAAGAAAGAAAGAAACCAGGAGAGGGGAACAACACAAAACAGAGAAAAGGAAACAAAAGAGTGAATTAGCATGTATCATGGTTCAAATGTCCCTTGTCCCTCAAGTACTGACCGGTTTCCCTTCCACCCCACCCCACCCCTATGAAAAAACACTGAATAAATCTTAATTAGTTTGGTCCCACCCTTCCTCAGGAGTTTTCAGGGTGGATAACCTATCGCGGTCTGGGCAGCTTAAACTCTAGGCACTCGTGGATAGAGAAAGGAGATTTCCACCCCGGGGGAGGGAGGGGGACTGGGTAGCTCATCAAAATCTTTGAACGTCGGGAATTTCGGAACTCCGGGATTTGGGTCCACCCAGGCAGGGCGGTGAGTGGGTGAGACAGAGCTCAGCCTGCGGTGCTCTCCCCTCAGGCGGCGGATTGCATCCAGTGCGGTCTTCTGCATCTCCGTGATGACCTTCTGAACCTCAATGCGGAAGCTATCACTGAGCCAGCAATAGATGTAGGGATTGTAGCAGGAGCTGCTAATTGCCAGCCAGTGGAGGAAAAAGTAGAGACTATTGTGGCTTGAGATGGTTTCACTGGACAGCAGCACCAAGTAGATGTTAAGGGGGAGCCAGCTGATTGCATAAACAAGCACCACTATCATCAGCATCTTAAGGGTCTGCTTCTTCTTCCCACGCTGGCAGATGTAGGTGTGGATATTGATGTCATCGACAGCATTGTGGATCCACAGCTTCTTAGCCACATGACCATATACAACCACCAGCACCGTCAAAGGTAGCATGAAGAAGAGCAAAAAGGTGCCCAGGTCAAGGTATTTCCAAGTGGATTTTGAAGTATATGGGAAACTGGGGAGGCAGACCGTTTCTTCAGTTACGTTTCTAGGTTATAAAACAGACACAGAAAAGAAAAAATACATCCATCATCTCCGTTCTCTTTTCCTTAAGGACCTCTGCAAGCTACTTACTACCTGGCAGCCTGTCCTTACTGGGGAGATACATTTTGAATGTAAAACCTAGAATTACAATAAAAGAAAAAAAATAAAAAAACAAAAAACCAGGAAGCCTATGTTTCAGCTAGTCCAGATTTTCATGTAATATATAAGGAAACTGACTGACAAACAGAAGAGACTATTTCTAATAAGCTGTTGCCATCAGGGCACTGAAGAACTTGTGAAAACTTACAATTTACAGAAATTCATTTTTGTGCCCACCTTTTGAAAAACACTAACCAAGCTCCTACCCCCTGGCTTATTCTGTGCAGTTTCCAAAATCACAGGTTTCTGGAATTGAAAGCATATCCATCCTGTGTTCTTCTTACCCAATTTCAACATGCTGAAGCTTCTGGTAAATGGCATGTGGCAAAGCAGCGCAGGTGCTCACAATCCAGATGATAATAATGCAAACATTGCCTTGCATCGGAGTAATTCGTGCCTTCAGGGGGTATAACATCACCTGAAAGAAAAGGGATTCCAGCCCAATTCAAAAACTTAAATGAGGATTATTTATTAACCAATTGTCAACTAATATTCCGGGCTAAAAACTTGGTAGATGAATGAATAATGTGTCTCAACAACTAGTAAAGTTGATGGATGGGTGACATTTTGCCTGATCAAGAGCAGCATTAGCCAACGCTGAAAGAAGTATTTGAAGGGGATGTCAGGAATCCAAGTTAACTGACTTTAAAGTTTCTGTCTTGGAAAGTTCTTTAAAGGATGAATGTCTGAAAGCATGACTTATTTTACCTTTATCCTATGTGGATATATAAGCACTCTGCACAACTTCACCTCTCCCCACCTGGGCCCCTTCCTGTCTGCATCTTCGGTCCCTTAATGCGTCATGGCCCCTCCCATCTGCCTCCATTTAAATCCCTCCACATCACTCATTTTCTAGTTCCCTCCCAACTGATCAACTATGTGACTCCTCCCCATTTCTTATCCCCACTTCTGCCCGCCCCTTCTTTCCTTTTACATCATTTCCATCCCGCCTCCCAGCTCTTTTTGCCCCACACCTCATCATTCCCTCCCAATTTGATACTTTAGCTCTCCCTCACAGACTTTAGCCCCACCTTTCAGACTCAACCCACCACCAGGCTCTAAACCACACCCACCTGTGACTCATCCCTTCCCTATTTTTTTTTTTTTCTTCAGCTGGCCCTGCAATGCAGCAAATTAGAAATGTTTTCTAAAAAGAGAAGAGTGCCTTTATATCATTTGTTCATCACCATGCTTCTGTTCCCAGAGTACCACATCAAAGCTAGGAGAATTTTTATCAAATACAGTTCGATGTGTGACGGTCAGTGCTTTAACATCTTGTAGTCTTCCTGATCTGTACTTACACATTCCACATAGATTATTTCAAAGAACTCAAAAGAACTTTTTGATTATTTGTGTTCTTTGCTGTGTTTAACTAGGAGAAAAAACTATCCCTGTACAAAGCCAGAAAGCACATACCCGGTGTCGGTCCAGAGAAATAGCAGCCATGGACATCACGGTTACATAGGCACAAGAGTACTGTGCAAAGCGGCTGAGGTGACATGTCATCTTTCCAAACACCAAGGAATTGCCTAGATAGCGCACCTGTGAGAGAGGGGGCACAGTGAGGCACAGGGTCTCAGACCTGAGGCCTCTCCCATTCCAATCCTTCAAACACAATCACAAACCCCCTTGCTTTACCAAGCTTACCAACATTATTGTGTCAAGAAGCAAAATAATAATAATTTTTTGAAAATCCCCAAACTACAGCTTTCGTGTCCTTACCATCTTCTCCCACTCAAATAGCCCAGCTTGAGCACATTTACAACTGCTATTTACCTCTTTTGAGACCAAGCCCTGTGTCTCAAAGGTGGAGAAACTGAGTCTAGGTTTTTGTGACAAAGCTTAAACTCGCACATGAACAAACAAATGCTTATTTGCAACAGGTGCAGGCTGCCTCCTCAGGCAACCTGCCAAGGCAGGAACTCCGTTCAGCAATGCAACCACAATCATGCCTGTCACCGGTTATCTTTTTTTTATTCCAATTCTCAGATCCTTTGCCACATCTCTCAAACATGCTGCCTGTATGCATTCTCAATACCAATTCAACAGGTTCCAGAGCTCCTTCCCGCCAAGTAACTCCGACCAGTGCAAAGTTATACCTTAGTTCTTGCCCCGCATCCCGAGCCACCCTGCTCAACACCCGGCTTACCATGGTGAAAGGGGAGCTGAGAAGCGCCAGCATCATGTTGGTCACAGAGATATTGACAACGAAGAGGCCGGTAGCGGTGTGCACCCTCTTGTATTTCATAATGACATGATTTAAGACCCAATTGCCTATGATGGCAGCAAAGACCACTATGGTATACCCTATCACTAGCCAAAACTGCACCTGCTCATCCTGGGATATCATCTCCGAAGATACGGGACCTGACAGGTCAGCCAGGTCTCCCGTGTTGTCTGACAATTTATCCATCGCGTGCGGGCCTTTGCGACCACCTTGGCCAATACCAACCACAGATGCGACGTTGGACAAGGCCTGCAGCACCTGGGAGGTGGTGGAGGTGATCAGGTCATCAAAACCACTAGGCACACTAAGAGCCTCGGGGGTCAGCTCATCCCCATAGCCCATGGTGCCCGAGCTCAGGTAAGCCCCTTGGGGCGTTTCTGTGGTCGGGGCGTCCAGCTTGACGCCTTTGGAGGACCGAGAGGTCCTTAAGCTCCTGGATCTGGGAGTACCAGGGGAAACGGAACCCCCGCTGGGCTGTGGGAGGGCTGCGCTCTGCTCGCAGAAGCTCAGCGCGCAGAGGGAGTTCTCAAAAAGTGTGTGAAGCAAGCAGAAAGGAGCGCCAGGAACCAGCAAGAAAGACTGTCCCGACTCGGAGTGGGCAAGTGCACAGAGCTAAACTGCGCAGACCAGCACGGGTCAGGCGACCGCAGCTGGTTCCAAATGGTCCGCCGCCTGCCTCTAAGGCAGGCAGCGCCTGTTTCTAACTGGGGACAGTGTCCGGCGTTGCCCCAGCACCGCTTCTCCTCTGCGCAGTTCCGACTCACTGTCTGTTGTCTTCAATCTGTCCAGAAGTCTGTCCGTCCAAGGCCGGCGGGCGCTGTTGGCAGGGCGGAGGCAGCCGCCGCCACTAGCGCTCCAAGCCGGTGCCCACCGCGCCTTCTGCAGCCGCGCTTTATAGAAAGTCCAGGGGCCCGCGCGGGAGCCAATAGAAAGCTGCGCCTTCACCCCCGCCCAGTGTATCCGGGCAGGGGCGCCTGAGCCGTCGCAAAGTCTTCACCGCCTGAGGCCCCTCCTTCAGGGATCCCTTCTCGGCTATTCTGCTGCAGCTGGAAGTCCAGAGTTACAGTTTCGTATTTCAGCACCCTCCACAATCTCCCTTCTTCACTTCTCCCTTCCCTGTTTGCGCCAGCACCCAAAGCACTGGCTAGGAACCTTGGTGCAGACAACTAAAAGAGGGCTGCGGAGACTACACTGGCGGCTGAACCCATGGTCTGTCCGATAAACTGGATATCTCGGTACCAGTAATGCAGGGAGCCGTCAGGGGAGAGTAGTCTCCAGGAAAGTCCTGAACAAGTTGGATTTTGCAGGGAGAACGGAGCAAGGGGGCAGCTGGAGTGAGAAGGGCCACTCTATAATCTCTGAGCGCCGCAGGAAGTAACAGTCGCTTGGACTGGGGTGAGCTTTGGAGGATGCACTGCTTTCTCCAGCAACAAAACTGCATGAAGTGACCCAGAGCTCTGTTCCCGTCCTCAGGAGGGACTGCGGTCTCTTCCAACCCTCTGGAAGTATCACTTTGGGAATTGGGAGATGGCAGGTCAGTAGGCAGGCTGAAGCCACTTCCCCAGGGGTGGTTGATGATTTGGGAGGCATTTGCATGTGAATGATGCCGTAATATGTAACCTTGGTGGTGGTGGTGGGGGGTGTTGAAGCTTAGTTTTGGGATTACTGTGGGAAAGAGGCTAGGGCTGGTGGTGGAAAGATTGCCTTCACAATTGGGTATTTTAAGCTACCTCTTAGAGAAGGAGTCTAGAAATATTTGAACCACCATTAGAGCAACTGCGTTGGGGTTGGGTGGGGGACACAACAGTCTCCTGAGCCTTTCCGTTAAGAAAGATATCGTCCTTTGCTTGTCATCCCCCAACCTTCCTCCCCGCTATTTTGCAGAGGTTTGGGCAGAAACAAATTTAAGGAAAAACACACACATGCACAAAGAAAGAAAAGCCTAATTGTCAAAACTGGAAGTGAAACTTGAGAAGACTAGCTGTTTAGAGTGTTTTGTTCTGCAGCAGGCTCTCTGTTTGAGAAGTCTGTGTTTCTTTGAATCACATTCTCATGATTTATTAACCACCCTGTATCCCTTAAGGTCTGTAGGGGATGCCTGCAGCTACGTTCCTCTTTTTTTCCTGAGGATTCAGAAGGAGAGCCCCTTAATATCAGCTACGTTAATACCTAGTTATCAAACTAGGCAGAAATGCATCCTTATTGTTATCGTCAATAACCTAATCATCATCATAATGAGGATGACTATCAGCCACTGGCCATGAAGGAGTCAAGCCAAGTGGCTGTGCATGTGTGCTGCATGCGTGTGTGTATGCACACTTTCTATGTGCGTGCGTACTTTGGATGTTTGTGCATACATGAATCCAGAGACGTATGCATGCTTGACCTGGGCACAACTTGCTGTTTGTAAATTAGTGAAGTAAAAAGGGTTAAGGCAGATAGCTGAAGTCTTGCAACCTCTCACACCTCAGATGTGAGAAGATCGTTGCTGATAGATAAACACTAAGTGGCTTAGAAAAGAATCTAACTAAACCTTGATTTTCTGAGTGTTGTGAATGAAGTTCTAGGCTTGATGAAGTTGCATGAGTAGCAAATAATCTCTTAAGGCAAAAGAAAAGAAGAGGAAAGTAACAGGGGAAAGGCTGTCTTTCTCTGCCGGTCCACAGAGCTAAACCACAACAATAAACACATTGAAGGAGTTAACAAATGTTGGCTCTGCCTCATAGTCCTACGCTAGAAAGGGTATTGAGTTAGGAGCTGGAAATCATTGATCTTCAGTGCGATATACCTCTGCAGCAGTTTCCACAGGAAGACTGCCAAGATGTATCAACTGAAAATTCAGAGGACACATTTGCTGGGCCTGAAAGTGAGCTGACTTCCCCCAGGGAATAAATGAAAGGTATGCTGACAGGTAGTTGAAGATAAGACTTTTCTGAAACGGAAATTGAGAAGTACAAATGAACAGTGATGAAGAGCAGATGTGGGAGGGTTGGACAGAAAACACAGTTGCTGACCCTATTAACTGTGGTCCTCAACCTGTAGCCTCTGAGAAATCTGAATCTGAGTCTGTTCCTGAAGCTGTCATAAAGGACTTAGAAATACTTCCCTCTCAGAGATGAAGTGGAGATTTCATGCAACAGTGCTGTCAGATTAGATTTGGCAGAAAGATAAATGCTGCATGTTGGATCACATAAGCATCCCCAAACTTTTGAAAACCCTGCTGTCTCACTCTTTGTCATCTCAGATGCTGGTATCCATGGATCATGAGCATCCTGAAGCCTTACAAGGAATCTTTCAGCAGTCAGCTTACAAAGTCCGATACTAATGTGTCCATCAAATTCATGGTACATCAGGGAGATAGACACCCAGTAATTTGAAGACAGAGAATTGAGAACCGTTTCTGATCTTGAGCTTTTTATGATTGCATGAAATAACCCGTACAAGGAAACAACTGATTCCATGCAGTTATAAGATGTAGTCTGTCGGTGTCATAGGAAGAAGCAGTATATAGGCTAAGGCAAAGGAGCCTTTGCAGAGGAGCTAACATTTGAGCTGGCATATGGAGAATAGGACAGAAATTGGCAGTGACACCAAGTGACCGCAGCCCCTAGGAAGGCAGGAGCAACCACACAAAGAGGAAAAAATGCTCCAGGTTCGCTCCAGAGAAAACAGAACAGGTGATTTTGAGAAGAGGGTTTAACATTTGCTGTATCTGTGAATTTCTCTAGCACTGCAGGCTTTTCTGAGTATTTCCATGGAGATACTGTGGCTTAGAGTTGAGGAAAATAGTTATATTGTACAGCTGAAGAAGAAAGTCAGGCTCCTTGGTAATGCAAAATTTGTAATAAGTACATTAGCTCATTCGATCATTCAAGTTATTTGTCCATCCAGCTCCTAAAAAACTTTTCCTTATATCTCACCCTTTCTCTCCCTTTTCCCTCTCCATTTTTAATTTCACAATACTCAGATGGGTTTAGCATTGTCCTCAAGGTTTGAAATTAAGCCATAGTAACCAAATCATTTTTTTTTTAAATTTTTGGTCTAAGTTTCAAGGAAAGGAGTTCACCCTGCCACATGATGCTCATACCATCTTTGAATAGCTTTGTCTGTTTAGAACCATCCATATCAAGTTATAGCCCAAATACATACCCTTGGAGCTTGAAATCCATTCTAACCCTGCAAATACAAAGAAATATTTCAGACAAAACTGCCCATAGTTCTTATAGTCCCTCTGGAGGTCTAAGTCTTGGTATTATGGGCCATTTACTTTCCGCCCAGCTACATTTCACACTCAGTTTCCTCTCCCTAAAATAGTCACTGCTTCCCTTATTTACCTCCTAATCTATAAACATAGAAACAACCACCTAACCAAACAGAAAGCACACACACAACAGATTAAAAAAAAAAAGTTGCTACATCTTTAGGTAGACCTCATGTAATAGATCCTATAATTGGAGGGCCCTCAGGACTGAATTCAGTTCTCAATGGATTTATGGATACCCCGGTTCCAAGGAAAATGTTGTACCGGCCTTCAGTGGGCTTAAGCATTCAGTAGAGTTTCAGTGATATTTTCCTTCCAAACTCAAGATCTAAGGGAGCCAGGAAGAGCTACAAAAAGTTCCCCGTTGATATCAACATCCATTCGGTCCTACTGACACAAGATGTTCTTTCCCTTACCTTGCTTCTTAACATGTGTTACTAATTTTAACATAAATTTGTCTTCAAGTTCTTTTCTTTCAGTTTACAGTTGGTGCTTTGTCCTTCACACCTGGTGCTTACTTAAAGTTCTTAACGTTTGAGTTTCTGTAATATATGGAAAGATTGGCTAGTGATACTCCCTGTAACTTTCATTGAGATTTTCAAAACCAGGCTAGCCACCAGATTGACACCTCTAGAGATTTTGGGGGTTTCTGACATACACACAAAAAATGCCATTAAAATATTGTGATGATAAAGTCATTAACTTTTACTAAGGTCAGTATCCTCAGTTACATTACCCACAATGGTAGAGGGACAGAGCATGTTTTATTCCGCTACTGGCAGCTCTCTTCTGTGACCACAAGCAATCCATGATGCCTTACATTCAATTTCGTAGTGTTCCAAATACAAAGATAGCCATTGCAATACACAATACTATCTTAGTTTCCCAACTGAAAATAATACCTAGGGGCATCACAGAGCACTATGACAACTGGTAGTAAATGTGATGGCTGTGACCCATGCAACTCTAGGCAGTTTTCCCCCAGAGTCCCAGGAAATAAATGCTCTGGAACTGGCTAGAAAACACAATCCAATTCCAGAGGAAGAATGTTAAATCTGAGATCTGGAAGAGTCCATAGTCACATTTCAAACGAGAACACACATTATCTTATTGCTCACTGCTGGACGCTGGGTGTGGCAGAACTCTGTGAGATAACTAGAGATGAACTCCTTATAATTAGTGAGCTTCATGACTGTCATTTATGTCATTTCTTGAGACTGTGACAGCATCCATTTCCAAGAGGAACCAATTTGTGGCTTGTATATCTACAGAGAGAGGATCACCTATTCACTAAGAAGTAGGGATGGTCCAAATTGCCACTAAGTCA